AATTATTTTTCTTCTTTGGGTTCAAAAACGTCCCAATAATTGTCTAAAAATTTATTTCGAATGGCATGAAATTCGTCTTCTAAAAGCATGAAAATTTTATTAGGTTTTAAAATTTTTTCTGTATATTTTTTCAATGTGTACCTAATAAAATGTCTTCTATATGTCCAATAATCTCGTCAAATTGATTGTCTTCTATGCTTTTAGAATTTTGTTCCATATTTTCACCGGCATTAATAAAAGTAAAATTATCTGTTGAATAAAATCATGAAAACCTTGATATATCGTCACTTTGTTTATACATATATAGACATTAACTACGCACATGCGTAAAAACTTATTATTTAGAAAAAAAATGCGCAGTTAATTATTTATAAAAATACTGCAAACAAACCTATTACTTTTCCTGACATAGTTTTAATTGGTTACAAAAATAAGGCACTGTTTATTTTTACAATAAAATAAACGTATTATTTGTCAGTTATTGATATCGATAGGTCAATAACTACTGAAAACGAGAATCGAATCTGACTACTGATCAACCAATCACGTTCATTAACGTTGTAGTTCGAATTTTTTGTAACAGTTTACCTGACGTGCCCCATAAAATTAATAAACAATGTGTCTGTGTTTCTCAAAAAAGAATATTCATCTTTGATTTGTTACTAAATTGCAATCGTACTTGGTAAATTAAGCATATTTCCACTATAGATCGAATTTCGATTGTTACTTTTACGCGTTTCGATAAAAGGGCGGGCGATTGTCTTCTTACTTTTGATGGCACTGTCACTCTGTTTTGTTTATCAAATTATTAAATTATTAAACTTAAAGTAATTTATATTTGTATATTTTTTTAAAAAACCTTGTTTCATAATCTGTGCATATATAATTTCTTTTTTAAATTGAAATTGAGTGAAATTAATTCGCAATTGATAAGTGAGTATGTGCTGCAAATTCGTAATACATATTGTAGATCTTTACAAAATTATTCATTCTGTAGGTAATACACATCAATGGAGATATATACTTTTGACAAGAGTCTTCAAGAAAGACTGGTTGAATTAACTGAAATTTTATCCAGTAGAGGTGAAGTTGTACCTGCATCTCAGATTCAGGCTGAATGGTCTTATCATATAGAACTTGTAATAGAACCTGTTGGTTGGCAGGCATTGTGGAAAATACCACGTTTAGTGTGTGAAGATTTTCAGATTCATTATCCTACTATAGTAGTTGTAGAAATTGAGCAAGTTGATTTCTCTGATTTGTCTGCATTGGTAAAGATCACTGCTGTTCAAGATGAAATTCATCTGCCTGAGAAATACGATGTACCACTCATTGAACTTTATCCAACTCATAAACAAGAGAACATTGCTTTGGACATGGTGGGTACTGCAAGTTGTATTGATCAGCTGAGATTCTTTTATAATTATGTATGGATGTCATGGGACATAGATGATGATGATAATACTGATTGGGTGTCTGTACATTTGGAAACAAGAATCAGATTGTTTTTTGACATGAAAAGGGGTATTGTCAGAAGAGAAACTAGCGATGTCATTAGGGGTTTGGTAAGAGAGGGAAGGGAGATTCAACAGAAAATAGCAAGGTTAGAAGATACTATTTCTGAAGAGGAGGAAGCACATACTGATATAGTAGATGGAGGAACAGCATGTCAGTTAATGAAACTTCATTTTCGGCTGCAACAAATTAAAAGAGAAATGGAAGTACTAGAGAATCCTGCTATGAGAGAAATTCTTACAAAGGAACAGACTTCATCTTTAAGTGATGACAAAATAAAGAGGAGAGAAAATAAAGAAAGATCTATGGAAGGTCACTTTATATGGCTTGGTGGTACTTTAGAAGAGATGAAGGAAGCCATAAATAAAGCTCAAACTTCTTTACCTACAGAGTTATTTTTCAAGTAAGTTTGACAAGTACTATAAGCTGCATATTAATTTTTCATTCTGATACTTTTTATCTAGAATATCTGGGTCTCTACTAGAGACTTTACATACATGTGACATAGGGGATATCATCATAGTTGGAGAAGGAACTCATCAGATAAAAGGTGCTGGTAATTTAGAAGAGGATGGTACTATTAGAGGAATTAATAATTTAGAACAAACTGTTCTTACTATGAAAGACACTGAAACAGCACCATCACTACTTGATTTTTCTGGCAATGGAGTAAGCTATTTCTTTAAAGCTACTTTGTAATTATTATTATAACTGTTGTGCATTTAAACTGCAGAATATATATTTATAGGTTCTATTAGAGAATATTACTGTAGATGTTGGTGATCTCAGAGCAGCTGTAATAGTAAGAGGTGGGACCACGAAAATAGTTAATTGCAAAATATGTGCCTTAAATCAGACTATGGTGAAATTAGGTATTGTGGTTTTACCCAATGCAAAACTAATAGTAGAAAATACACTCTTTGACAGTCTTGGGACTGGTTTAGTTGTTTATAATAACGGAGAAGTATCCATGAATAATTGCAGTTTTAAAAACTGTGCAGAGGGTATTCAAGTATGTTATTTTTTTTTAGATTATCATGCTCATGTAATTACGAAACGAAATAGTTAGAATATCTTACTGTTTTTAGCTTCACGACAATGCAAAATTAACAGCAAAGGACTGTTTTCTGGGACATTTTAAAGAATATGCAATTCGATTGGAAACGCAAAAACATTTAAGTGGTTCAGAAAGTAAATGCGGGAGCTTGGAATTATTAGCAAATGTGCCCGAAATTTCCTTACACGACTGTAAGTTCGAGGGTAACGGCAAAGGAGATGTCACGCTGAAGCCAGGCTCCACGTTTGTTATATCAAAACAAGATAAACCTACGAATATGGAGACTTAAAGTAATTTATTCCACTACAAACAAATTTCCTACTTTTATTATGAAAGTGCATGTAATTCTTAAATCCCATGAAAATATAAGAATTTTGTACTTTTTTGTTATATGAACGTATTCAGAATTTACAGTAGATGTAATCTACACCACAAAACAGATTTTCTTTTATTCACTTTCTCGAAATTACGAATATAAAATAGGCAAGTCGATAATAATATTTTAGTTGATAAAGATCGATTAGAAATTAAGCGGGAACTCTTTCGAGTATAAATAGTCTAGCTGGTTCAATTTCTCGTCACCAGATGACGGGCACTGTCTTAAATTGTTACGTATTGTCGGTGCATGTTCCTATATTGTGAAGTGTTGTGTTCCATTATAAACATATAATTTTGTAATGCAAGTGTTGTACATCGATATTCGAATATTGCGAATTCTAAGAAAACACACTGTAAGTGTTTCATCGTTTAACTCTCGTTTCTCACTTTAACCACATCCTAGCGAATAATTTCAACTTACCTCCTAACCTGAACGCGTGACTTCGATATTTATTTGTTATTCCTGTCAGTAACGATATTGTTGAATGCTTTATTCCGTGTCGTTTGACGTTTCTATCTATAACGTCGATCAGCACGAGGCTTAAGAGACAAGCGTTTCGTACGAAAGTATTTCGAGACTCGGGGTCGGCACAACCTAACCTATCAAACGCGCTAGCGTTGAAACAACGTCAAATATATACGTAACTGCATCTGTTACACGAGCTGCGTGCACGTTTCTATATATATAGAAAGAGATAACACCGCGCGTGTACAGTACATTGGAGTGACGTAAACGATAATTCGATCCACACTGTTCTCATCGCTGTATTCGTTTAAGACCGTACCCGGTTCGTATGTACCTATAAATGAAGCCATAAGTACCTGGCCATGTGGCCGTATCACGTGTACATCGATGAATGAAGTAGCGTGATTTAAAGACTCACACTTTCGATGATGAATGGAAATCCTTCCGCTGTTGATAATGCTTATCAGTTTTCCTGCTTGATTCCTGGTCATTGACCATTTAAGCTAGATATATAACTATAGGCTTCTGCTATAAATGAATTTATTCTGCTGCAATACAGTAGATAGCAATTGCAATATGTACATTCAAGTTATGAATAGGAATTTTTATTTTTTTATCACAGATTATTTCGATCAAGAATACTGCATTTTTCATTCAAGACTGGTATATACAAGACCAGGCTATGGTTGAGACTACCTCTTTCAAGCAGCTGACCGATCAGCAAACGCAGTTTGGCAATACACGTCTATTGGAGCCGTCGGAATGCATCTTCGTGTTCAAGGGTTCGCAATCGGATTACGAGGAACCATCGACGGACGAGGAGGTGAGTCGAGCTCACTATTATTTCTGTCGTATATGTATACAGGGTGATCCATTTAAATCCATGTACGAATACATAAGAAAAAAAAAATAGATGAAATAAAAATGTTTATAAAAAAAAAAAATATTAATAGAGGAATTATACATGTATAAAGGATCGAATATGATCAAAGTGTATGTTTTTCTTTGCATGATTTTCAGACACACGTAATATATCATCTATTAATTCCAGCTTATCCAGAAAAGAGATTTAGTTTCTTAAGGAAATTATACGATGCATCTATAAGGGAACGAATGTGATCACCCGGTCTATTTTTCTCTGCTTGATTTTCAGACACTCGTTATATGATTTATTAGTTTTACTATGAAAATGATATGATATACATATGTAAGTGTAAAGGATCGAATACGATCACCCTGTATATTTTTCTTTGCATAATTTTCACACACTTCGTATATATGATTTGTTAGTTTTAGTTTATCGAGAAAATTATATAATATATGTGTTAAAGAACGAATATAGTCACCCTGTATATTTTTTCTCTCCACGATTTTCAGACACTCGTTATATATGATTTTCCATGGTTAATATCATCGTAAGATAATTCAGGAATCGTCATCAATGTAAGGTTTACAAATTATCGACACACTCTTGACTGATACATCTCGCATCGTGTATTTATTTCGTACGACGTCGGTAGCGATCGTAAAAGCATGGCTCGTAAAAGATTTACACGGCAACTCCTTAGTAATACACGAGCTACAATAAGCTCGCGCGCACTGCTATCGAAAAATATGGGAGCGGGAAATTTATTTCGTGTTGCGCGACGCGACTTCACGGAGCCGGGCTTATTTTCCTTTTTTTCTCTCTCTCTCTCTAACGGCGAGCCAGCCAGTAAGGAAAACACCGCTGTATCATTTATTTCGGAGAGTCTAGAGTTCACGCGATATTTATCGCTTTGAATTCTCGATGAAATATTTCCACCGATGTTAACACTTTACCGACCGGTAGCGGTTGAACATTCTACGCACTTTCGACCGGTCACTCGGCCACAGATACATCGGTGACACCGGCTCTGTTCAGACTTTAGGCTATTGCGCGGGAATATACGCGCTTTTCCTTATACCTGTAGAAATGTTAAATCAAACTCTGACCGGTTAATAGGTTATCGGTCGGTAAGCGTCGGCGAAAAAAAAATGGATTAATAGGCTACCGGTCGGTAAGCGTTGGCGGCAAAAAGCCGATTAATAGGCTACCGGTCGGTAAAGTGTTAAGCTGATATAGTAAACGTATTGACGTTGACCCATTAGTAACTTTTCAAAAAAGAAATGTGACATTTCGATACCGATAAGTAACTTTTGTGACTTCGTTTTCGATATGAGAGAAATTTTTTAATCACGTTATACACGACTCTTACAGAGTTGTTCAAGGTCGTTGCGAGGTAAAAAAAAAATGTCGCACTCTATTCCCTGCATGCTTCTGTATTCTGAGATAAACCGGACATATTGTGTACAAAAATGTACTTACGAAAGTTGTTAATGCGTTATTCTGTCCCGACTGGTTCTTCTTAGTGTGAAGTTCAGCAGAAATGTCGGATACACCAAGTGACAATGCGACAACGAATTAAAATATATCCAAGCATATAAAATTAGAATTCAGGATGTCACCGCGTTTCCTGTTAAAACAGAGACAATGGTACTCTTATCGTTACAGTTGATAAACACAGGACGACGAAATTCTCTCTCGTTGAATTTCCTATGATAAAACGAATGTTTATACTAATTACATCCCCCTTTTATGAAACATTCCCACGATGTAACTTCGCGATCTGTTACTTTCACCGTGTAGCGAGACCTGCATCCCCCCCCTCGTAGGAACCGCTCACGCGGATGCTACGATTAAAAATTACAACACGAGAGAGGTGAGCGAAAGGGATAGGTGAACATGATGCCATACGTGTGCACCTTGTAAAATCCTTTTGTTTGTTGCGTAGCCGGTTATTAGTGAATCGAACATTCCTTTTCGGTCACCGTGGAATTTCTTTTACTTTCCTCTTCATTAAGCAACATTGTAGGTGATAGAGCGAATACCATGTTGTATACGTTTATATTAACTTCTAGACCGATTTAGATTGGTTGAAACTCGTGTTGAAACGCTCCGGTAGGATTCAATACGCGCGGTTCCGTTTCGACCTGCTTCAACTCGCTTGGTTAGGCATCAATGCGCTTCGGCTCGCGTGGTTACGCTGCGAGTCGCGTCGTTTCGCTTTGACCCGCTTCGGTTCGCGTCATTCCGCTTTGACTCGCTTCGGTTCGCGTCATTCCGCTTTGACTCGCTTCGGTTCGCGTCATTCCGCTTTGACTCGCTTCGGTTCGCGTCATTCCGCTTTGACCCGCTTCGGTTCGCGTAATTCTGCTTCGACCCGCTTCGACTTGGATAATTTCGACCCGATGCGCTCAGACTCCGCGTTGTTCTGCTTTGATCTACTCCGATTTGCTTCGTTCCGTTTCGAACAGCTCCAACTGGTGCGATTCCGCTTTGGTCAGCTCCAACTCGCGCGATTCCGCTTTGGTCAGCTCCAACTCGCGCGATTCCGCTTTGGTCAGCTCCAACTCGCGCGATTCCGCTTTGGTCAGCTCCAACTCGCGCGATTCCGCTTTGGTCAGCTCCAACTCGCGCGATTCCGCTTTGGTCAGCTCCAACTCGCGCGATTCCGCTTTGGTCAGCTCCAACTCGCGCGATTCCGCTTTGGTCCGCTTCGATTTGGACGATCTCGACTCGATCCGCTCCGAATCGCGTCGTTCTGCTTTGACCAGCTCCGATGTAGTTCGTCCCGTTTCTAGCAGCTCGAACTCGTGCGACTCCACTTTGATCAGCTCTAATTCGCGCAATCCCGCTTTGGTCCGCTTCGATTTGGACGATTTCGGGTTGATCCGCTCCGACTTGCGTTCTTCTTTTGTTTTGATTTGCGACAGCTCGCACGGTTTCGCTTTGATCCGTTTCAATTCGGGTGGTCTTGTCTTTATCCGCTCCGACTCGCGTCGTTCTGCTTTAATCCGCTCCGGTTTGCGTTTTTCTGCTTTGATCCGCTTCGAATTGGGTGATTTTGTCTTGATCCACCCCGACACGCGTCATTCCGCTCCAACGCGCATTATTCCGCTTTAATTCGCGTCATTCATATCCAGTCCTCTCCGATTCGTATATTTATTCTTCAATCCGCTCGAAATCGCGTTGGCCTGTTCGCAAGTACGCGTGACAAATCTCAGCGATAGGCGTCCACAAGAAGTGGCCAAGTTGACTAGCAACTGAAAAAAAAAAATTCGCCTCAAGTTAGAAAGAGCAATTTGGAGGAGAAAGGATTAAGTGCAAAACCCGTAACGTGACGTTAATGAGTCTGGTTGATTTAGAATTCTTCCTCCCTGTAAAACACACTATCTTTCTTCCTCTTTTTTCCACCGTCTGTTCACGATGCTGGAAAAAAGAACCACGCACGAGTCTCATAACACATCCGCCGATGCTTTTGACCGCGAGTTATTTGCAGCCTGGTGTCTTCCGGAATGACTGATCGCCCTCTTGTCGCATGTTCGTTCTCGTTTCTTCTCCGTTTCTTCCGTCCTATTTCCTCGTTCCTTTATTTTTCTTTTTTAACCAGCTTGACGTTCGCGTGTTATTTCACTCGTCACAACTGTCGCGGCGTTACTTCTAATTCTGATTGTTCCTCTAGCATTTTCATAACCGTGTGGACACGAGTAAATTCTCTCTTCCTTTTACCAGCTTTTCTTTCATCAGTTATGTCCTACTCTTTTCTGCCTCTCTGTTTTATAAACCTTTCGATTGTTTTTCTTCTCTCGTTCTTTGTTTACGCGTGCACCTCCTTTTTTACCATCGAGTTCATTCAGCGGCTGTTTACGTTATTCCCGGAGCTTTTTCCCTCGAGTTAATCTGCCTCGCCACGTTTCCTGATTTATTTATTGCCCCCGCGCGCTCTTTTCTCCCGTCGTTTTAATTCATCCGCCGCTTTCGCTTTCGGCTGCTCCTTCATTCATCTTGTTCATTCACCGTCTTGTCCCGTTTTCGTTTAATAATCCGCCCATTCGCTCTCTGCCCTCCTTTCAATCTCCCTATCGTCCGCGAATTTTTTAATATCTCCCGAGAGTATCTTGGTCGTGTTCTTTCAAAAAAAAAAAAAAAGAAGAAGAAAAACGAAATTAATAGTGCTCTCTATTAAATTAAACGTTTTTCACAATGGCTCGCTCGAACGTCGGGCTGACAGACATTTTCCTTTTTTGCTTCTTCTCATTACTTTTCATCACGGACACTCGGTTTATTGTTTGCTTTATCATGAAAATTGCGTGTTTCCGCGCGTCCTCGCCCTCTCGAGAGCGCCATTCAAAAACATAATAAACTTTTCTGCCCGCCCTTTTCGTTTTTAAATCCTCACGTCTCACGTCCCACTCCGGCCCTTAGCCATTTTTCTCCAGGCACACCCTTTTTATCTTTCCATTTTTCTCACCATCTCTCTCTCTCTCTGTCGAGATACACGTCTTCATTCAGTCAGTTTTCGTTTCTTCTCTCGTAGAGAGAACAGGTTATTCCCGGCACAGCCACATACGCACATTGTGTCTCTTTCGGTACATTTTATCTTGGCGTTACTGGCGAGCCAGCGATTTTATTGTCGTCTGCCCATTTATCATATTTACTTGTCACTGGACCTCTTAAATAGAAGTCATTCCTTGTTGAATCTGTGCCCACTGGATCAGTGAGTGTCAGATTGTAGTTTGTTAGATATCGCGTAGAACTTTTTAAGCAAAAACTTCATCCATCATTGTTACGTCTCTAATGAGAATCTATATTTCGGTTCGAAATAGCTCGGTTTACGTTTTACCGGTTGTTAATAATTGGACTTCTTTACATGTTGTTTGCAATTGCTTCTGAAAATACACTATGCAAATTTCCTATCGTCTGTTTTGGAAGGCTGGGGATGGTTAGTGCCAAATACTCCTATGATAACACCTTAGTCGTTACGGTATTGTATTATAGTATTTTAATAATCAAACATTCAGGTACCCAAGTAATTCAATACTCCAGTATTGAAAAAGTAATCTAAATGTCAGTATCTTAAATGTACCAACACGTTTTACGTACCAAATACTTGAGTACTCCAATTCTCAAATACTCTAACATCCCAATGCCTCGATACTCCGAATATCCAACACTCAGATACCCAAAATAATCCAATACCTCAGATACTACAAATACCCAAATACTCTATCATCCCAATATTTCAATACTTCGATACTCAAATACCCTGGATACTTAAGCAATCCAGATACCCCAGATACTTTAAATGCTCCAATACCCGAACACTCCAGTATTGAAAAACCCCGATATTGAAATACTTCAACGTCTCGATACCTCCAATACCCCAAATCCTCAAATACGCTAAGGGCTCCGCTATTTCTACATGTATTTGAGATACATAAATACACCAACGTACCAGTATTTCAATATTGAAATACCTCTGATATAACTATTTCAGATATTCGAGATGTAACAAACATTCTGGACGAATGGTACTTTTATTAGCAATAACATTCTGCTCAGTGGGTGAGAAAACTGATCTCGTGCTGGTTTGTGAACCATCTGGTCCCACTGTTTCGTTCTCCTAGTACGTCACTATTTACGTAGATGGTGGAACACCGAGCGGATTTCGGTTCTACAAATACACGCGTCAGATGATCGACGATCAGAAATCGAACTGTCAATATAATTTCCGGTCGTCGACTATTCTCGTTCGCGTCTCCGCGCGATTTCGTAGTCGGCCGTGAGGAGGTTTGCCTGTTTTCTAAACGGACCGATTAAAGTCGAATCGTCGACACACGGTGTACAGTGCCAACACATTCGTAATGGATAAATATCCCTGGGACCTGGTCACGCCTCTCTCCCTTTAACTTTACGAGCGAAAACGTATCGTTTATTCCCCGGAATAACATGCCATTAATTCGGGCACTTTTGCATTCGCGTTTGTTGCGCAGGCCACTTACAGGCCTGTTCAGGTCGCGTCTATTCGTACTAAATATATCCTTGGCTTGTCTGGGATGAGACGTCGCAGCCGCGACGTCTGTCACCTGCTACTCTGATAAATTCTAAACCCATGCTTCGTCCAATTTTGTCCGCGTTTATTTTTTATGCGTTTTTTATATGGTTGCAATTCCTCAGCGTTCATCTTTTTTATCAAACGAGTCATTCAATCACTTCTAATTCGTATCGTTTCGTAATTTCAATACATCACACTGACACGATTCTTTTTTTTTTTTAGTGACTAGAAATTAATTCAGTGAAGAAGTAAAATTAATTTTAATGAATTTTTTTCAATATGCAATTAGAAAGATTCAAAGTTGAGAATCCTGAAACAAGTGCATTTTGGCTATCGATCATTTAACCCTGCGAAATTTCGCAAATTTTTCCTTGATTTTCCTAATTTGCTTTAGTTTTAAACTTTTAACGAATATTTTGCAATACGTTCCTTTTGTACGTTGATTTTTATTTTTTTACCGACGGTACTGTTTATCACGTGAACGAGATATGCGTCCCGCATCACGATGATTCGCGATATTCACGGTCGAGCGATTTTCGATACCGCCAGCCAGGGCGATTTAATTTTAAAAACAAGCCAGCCTGTAATGCATCATCGAGGTAGGCGCCATCGAAGACAATGCGTGGCCTGTCTCATCTGCGATAATTGATTTAACCATCGACCAGCGGCCGTTTAATCCCCTGTTAATCCCTTGTTTCGTGCAACTTCTTTTCAATTATTACGTTCAAAATGCTCGAAGGAAAATCAAAGAAAATACAAATGATTCTATTATATTTAGTCACCTTCAAAATAATTCCCATTGCTTGCAATACACTTATGCCAACAATTTTTTTCCAATCTTCATATGATCGCTGGAACGCGATTTCTGGAATAACTTTTAGCTCATTTGGTGAATTTTATTTTATCACCACAAATTGAGTGGAAGTTTCAGTCGGAGAAATAGGAAAAAGTTGTATAAAGGTACCTAATGCTCCATGCTTGCTCCATGACGTTAGACGAATTTTTGGTCAAAAAATTACGGACAAGCTTCAAGCATCATTTTTTTTTTGTATTAAAATTTAGATTTGTTCCGTGATGAGTTACTTTAATGCCTGTAGGTATAATAATAATTATTGTTCAGCTCGAATATTCTCAGATTAAAATATTCAATTCCTATTATATAATAAATTATTCCTAAAATATCAAAAGCTTCTTTGTTTCGCCCTTTCATTTATACTAATATGAGACATTTAACCAAATCCTGGTAAAATTAAAATATATACTTCTGGATGACCAAAGAAAATATGAGGACCATAAATTTGGCCAGTTTTCGTGGGTCGAATCACTTAAACATCTCATGACACTGAAGTAGTATTGCTCCTTAAGGGAGTACTTTCATGTTTTGGGGATCAAAAAATCGAATGTTTTCACGTATTAAGTTTCTACGATTCTTCTAGAAGAAGTATAGTCGGGGCCACGATATAGCGAGGTCGTAAAATCGGTCAGACGTCAAAGTAAACATGTTTTAGCTGCCGGGACCCGAAAATTGACAGAGATACGAGCAGATAAGTACTTGAAACCATGGTCAGGACCGTACAAAGAATTCTTGTATCCAGCGAAAGTCAACTGATTCTAATATATTTACTGAAAACTGCATGCAGCTAGGACAAATTAGGGTTTCTCCCTCTGGGGGAAGCCGCTTTTGGAAGTACGGTTACAGGTAAAGGTCTTATTGATGTCTTTAGCATCTTAGTTTATCTACTCGTGTTATATACAGATAGAAAGTGCAAAAAGATTGTGTAGCTTAATATTAACATATTTTCCATTTGTAAATGAAATACCATTTTCTACTTGAAGTACCAAATCATATGCTACCATTCGTTTATTGTTGGAACCCTCAAACAGACTGCAACAAACGGCCTTGAGTGTCGCAACATCAATCGATGCCGATTCTTGAGAGTTTAATTTACGACCTCGCTATATCGTGGCCCCAAAGATATGTGAAATAATTTCTTAAAAGTCTTTAAATGTACAGGAGTTGCAAATGTTGAAGTCGAACGCGTACCGCGGTCGAAAATTGTCCTGGCGTCGAAATTTGGGAGAAAAGCACAAAAAATTGAAAGAAAAATTGCTTTAACACAGTTTAATTGAAATTGAAAAGTTCGAGAAGAAGTTGTGTAAGTTCGTGTAAGAAAATTGTATTGTTTACACGACGAAAACTTTAAACGCGTTTTTCTCGAAACTACATTTTTTCAACTCGTGAGCATGATATCTGAAAATCTAATAGCCCGATTTGAATATAATAAAGTGCATTCAATTTGTGAATGAATGTTTTATCGTCCGTACTAGAATTGTGAAGATTAATAAACAATTTCTAATTTTTTTATTAGATCGAAGTCTAACAGATTCGTAAAATATTCAACTGCTGTGTTCACCGCGTTGTCGTATTTTTTTTACGTTATCAGGTATAAAGAAAAGCTTTCTGAATATAAAAATAACTTCAGTTTTCATTTCATATGGACGCGAAGGACGAAATCGTGTTCACCGTTCATTCTGTCCGACCCAAATTAAACCGCCATTACTTCAGATGTATTAATTTTCTTTAAGCCAAATTTGGTATACATTACATATAAAAGCTTGTAAACACATTG